AGATAAGCAAGAAGAGTCTCAAACTAAGGGAAGAAAAAAAATATCCATTAAACAGAAATAATCAATTGTGTTAGAAGCAGCAGAGAGGTCAAGGAGGAAGAGGACTGAAAAAAAAAAGGGCCATCATATCTTTAGGGTTTCTGAGGACATTGGTGAGGGAGCAGGAAGTTGGATTTCAAAGGGCTGAGAAGACTGGACAATGACAAATTAAGGCATCTACAGATAAAGATGGGCCAGTGCCTGGAGAGACTAGAAGGATTAAAAAAAAGACTGAGTATATTAGATATCTGAGCACATTTGGAAAGTAATAGTAATCAAGCTGAAAGAAGGAAAAGACTGAAGATGCCCTGAGAAAGAGGAGCTGACTTCAGAATCAAGAAAAGGATAGAGGGAATAGCATCATGGACCTATGGTAAAGGGCTTAGTGCAGAGTGATACTTCCATTTTTCTGGCCTGAAAAAAAAAAAGGTAATATTGCTGCAGGAACTGAGGAATGGAGGAGAAGAGGAGCTGGAAGAAACCAGGCAGGATGCCCTCAATCTCCTTAGAGAAGGCTAAATTCTGTTCAACATAAGAGGGGTTTAGAAAAGAAAAGAAAAGATCTCAAACACACTAAGGAATGAGTGAATCACTGAAGGAATGGAGAGCGGACAGAGTGATCGACTTTTAGTCATGACACTGAGTCCACATCTCCCTTAAATCTTTTCTCCAAACTAAATATGCCTAGTACGGTACACTCTCTAGTCCATTCCCAAACTTATCCACCACACGGCTCAGATATCAGGATGTTAGGGACAGAACTTTTAAGATGGGGTAGAGAAAAGGAGTCAGTGAATGAAAGGAGCAGGAGGAATAAGAGGAGTACCAAGAGACTGTATTGTCTCTGAAGCCAAGAGTAATGAAAAGTATTCAAAAGGAGGAGGTGGTCAACAGTGTCAAATGCTGCAAAAAAAGGTCACTGGGAGGGAATTTTAAAGGTTGTTGGTGACCTTTTTGAGAGCAGTTTCATAAAGTAGTGAGAACAGGTATTGAGGAAAAAGTAGATAATGAGGAAGTAGAGGCATCATCAAGTGTAAAAACTTCCAAGAAGTTGGGCAGTAATGGGGCGGGGGGGGGGGGAGAATGAGAATAACTGGCTGAAATAAGTGTCAAGGAAAGGTTAAGGAGCTAGGATGATAGAGAACTGACCATGTTTGTGGGCAAATGAGGAGGAGAGAACAGGGAGGGAGAAACAAGAGGGATAAAAGACAGCTAATGGTTTTTGGAGGGAAGGTCAAGTAAGGAGGATTGAAAATAAAGGGGAAAAAAAGAGTTCTGGCTCTCAGTTAAAGAGATTACATAGTTTAGCAAGTATTTTAATCAACATTTTATAGCAGTGATATTAAAACTCATCATGATCATTTCACGAGAATCCAGGAGTTCCTGAAACCTTGATTCACTCAACTCTTAGAAACAATGGTTGAAAAAATATGGGGGAAGGAGAGGAGAGAAAGAAGCAGAGACTAGGCAGAGATAAGAAAGTGAAAGAGAAACACATTAATGTGATTAATATTAGTCATAATTTATAAATATGTAGATGAGCGATATTCTAAAGACCTGAAATTACTTAAAGTAACAGAAGTTATTTTTGAATTAGTTATTATCTAGTCTAGTCCTACCTCTAATGCTGACCCCTCCTGATGTCCTAGGCAGAGTCACTCCTCTCTAGGCTTTAGTTTACTCACTTGCAATATGAGGGGTTTGAATGAGAAAACCTTTAGGGTTCTTTCTAATGTACAGCATGGACTAGTAAATGTGTCAGTCACTTACATATATTTCTGTTTGTTGAGGCCTAAAATTCCAGTGGAGACTTGCATGCACATCTGCGTTGAAGGTGACTTTAATGATTCGATCCTTAACAGGTACCATAGTTTCAATCTGGTCTGAAGCATGACCAGCTACAGTTGACCCACCAAGTCCTGTGGTCTGGGGGAAAAAATTATTATAAAATATGTTAAAAACAAGATTTTTAGATTTTTATTAAGACTCATCATAATCATGAAACATTCCTTTAAAACATTACCACAGGATTAAAGGACCCCTGATCTATGGGGGCAGCTAGGATAGAGTGCTGGGCCTGGAGTTAGTAAAACTGGTCTTCCTGAATTCAATCTGGTCTCAGACACCTACTAGTTGTGTGAACCTGGGCAAGTCACTTAACCCTGTTTGCCTCAGTTTCCTCATCTGTAAAATGAGCTGGAGAAGGAAATATCAAACCACTCCAGTATCTTTGCCAAGAAAACCCCAACTGGGGTTACAAAGAGTCAGACACAGCTGAAACAGCTGAACAACAAAGATCCACAGTCAGAAGGCACCTCAAAGGCCAAAGAATTTTTTTTTGGGGGGGGAAGGCAATTGGGGTTAAGTGACTTGCCCAGGGTCATACAGTTAAATGTCTGGGTTGGATTTGAACTCAGGTCCTCCTGACTCCACCTAGCTCCCCCCTCCCCAAGATTTCAACCAAGTCTTTAAGTCTCAAAACATGGTTTCTTTCCACCAAATCCCAATGGTGCACTGAACTACTATTTAAAAAATAAGTCTTCAAATGCCTTTAATCATAACTGTGACTGTTCTTAATTGCTTCAAAATATATAAACATGCTATGCTACCATTTTAATTTTGTTACTATCAGTGCACCTTTTAAGATAAGTATGAAATGCCTACAATTAGTCTACTTTTAAATGTGGTACATCTTAACTAATTTCTAATTCAGTTCACTGAACAAAGCAGAAGCTAGCACTAGTTAACAAAGGGCTTCTGGGGTTTTATTCCAGTGGTTACATCCCTAAGGACACACTGGTCCAGCCACTTATCCAGTTCTACATCAATCTAATTGTATTCAATTTAAAACATTTATTTTGTTCCAGGCACTGTGCTAGGAATGTATATAGAAAAAATAAAAGCAAGAGTACTTGTTTTCAAAGGGCATACATTTTAAAGAGGAAACAATATGCATGCACATGTGTGTGTATGTATGTATGTATGTATATCTATAAAACATACAAAGCAGATATAAGATAAGCAGGGGCTGAGAGACAGAAGTACTACCAGGAAGGACCTTATGCAAAAGGTGGCACCTGAGTTGAATCTTGAAGGAAATTCCCAGGGATTTTCAAAGCTGGAGGTGAGAGACAGCAGTTGATTCTAGGAAGAGGGAACATGGGCTGTCATGTGTGTGGAATAGCAAAAAACCATAAAATGCAAGGGAGGAGTAATGTGTGATCCGGCTGGAAAGGCAGGATACAGCCATGTTTTAAAGAACTTTAAGTAATAAAGAGAAGTTGATATTTGATCCTAAAGAAGACACTGGGGTTCATGAAGTAGGGAGGTGACATGGTCAGACCTGCACTGTAGGAAAATTACATGGCAGCAGTGGTGAGAAGGAACTGAAGTAGGCAAAGATATGAGGCAGAGAAGTCAGTTTAGACTAAGCTATCTCAATTTTCCGGAGTTGAGATGAGGAGGGCCTGAGTGGAAAGTGGTTGTGTGAGTTGAGAAGGGGAGAAATATAAAGAGACGCTGTAGAGGTAGAAGTGACAAGATCTGGCAATCAACTGGGAATGTCAGGTCTCCAAGTCCAGCTGTGCCTCCTAGCTGCCTAATAAGCAGGAGCTGTTATCTTCTCTAAATGTCATTTCCTCCAGGGCTCCACACAATGTTCTGCACGCAAACACCACATACTTCATAACTTAACCCCTCTTGCTTTTCCAGTTTTCTTACACCTTACTCCCCAATACGTACTCTGATGCAGTGAAACTGGCTTCGTGGCTGTTTCAAGAATAAGACACTCTTATCTTTTGGCTCCGAGCATTTTCTCTGCCTGTTTATCCCATTCCTGGAATGCTCCCCGGTCTTTGCTCCAACTATTGACCTCCTTGGCTTCCTCTAAGTCTCAACTAAAATCCCACCTACAGGAGGCCTTCCCTAACCCCTTCTTAGTTTTAGTGCTTTCTCTATTTTAATTATTTCCTATTTATCCTGTATACAGCTTGTTTTGTGCATATTTGGTTGCATTTTATCTTCCCGTTCCTTGAGAGCTGGGGCTATCTTCTGTCTCGTTGTACCCCCGCAAAGTCAGTGCTTAGTAAACGTTTCTTGAACTGAACTTAATAAATCTTTGCTGAATGAATGAATGGCAATACGGGGGTGTCACATAAAACAAAGGAGGGGAATCTCCAGAACAGGGAATTAGTCAACAGCATTAAAAGCTTCAAAGAGAATAAATGCTGAGAAAAGCCACTGGATTGAACAACCACAGCTCGAATTCACACAGCGCCTTATTTAAAAGTTTGCAAAGCACTTTACGGAAGTTATTTCATTTGATCCTGATATCGAATGGCAACGAGAGGCAGGTGCTATTTTTTACTCCCTTATTACAGATAAGGAAGCTGAGGCCTGGAGAGGTGAAATGACTTGCCTAAGGTCACACAGGTGCGTGGGGGGCCGAGGTGGTATTCCAACCCGGGTCTTCTCTGCACCAGAGCCAGCACCGTTCCCAGTAAGGTCCCTCCCCGCTCCGGGCCGCAGTTTCCCGGTGTGCAGCTCCGCCTCCGGGCCCGGGCTCCCCGCGGCCGTCCTACCTGGCAGTAGAGGCGATAGAGGGGCACGGCGGCGTAGGAGGCCCCGATCATGCCCACGGCGGCCGCGGCCACGTACATCAGCACGGTGCGGTTCCGCCGCCGCCACTCCTGCTCCTGCTCTCGGGTGAAGGGGTTCGTGCTCTTCAGCCTCCACGGCGGCTGCCGCTGTTGAAGGGCCGCTGCCCGGCCTCCCCACCACCCCCAGCAAGCCCCGAGACGCCTCCAGGGGGGCCGCCCCAACACCGCCATGGCAACCCGGGCAAAGCGCCCGAGCCCCGCTTCCGGCCCCGGGTAGCGCGAGATCCGGGCCGGTGCGGGAGTGGCTGTCGGGGCCTCGTGACGTCAGAGCACGGCGTCGGCTGTCGCGGCTTCTCCAGCCTGCTCCGGCGGCGGCGGCGGGCGGCTCCTCGGGCAGCCTCGGCTTCAGGGGACGCGCTACGGCGGCCGGGTGGCCGGATTGTGGGTGAGTTCGCGTTTCGCTCCTGGGCTCGAGCCCCACCCCATCTGGCCCCTAAACTCCTAAGCTGGAAGTTCCGCGCGTGGGCTCCTCGCTACCAGCCCACTCGTCTCGGATCTGGGACTGGGGCTGGAATACCCGCTTGCTGGGAGACCCCCCGGGCATCTTGCACCCAGTTACCTCCCCCGACACTAACAGAGAACTCTAGTCCCTGATAATGAAAGGAGGCAGGTGAGAGCGAGAACCCGAGTATGAATGGCGCCTCTGCCTCTCTCATGCTGTGTGATCTCGGGAGCATCACCAGCCTCTCTGATCCTCAGTTTTCCTAGCTGTACGAGGAGCCACTTGGACTAGACCACAGGTTCTTTACCTTTTTGGGAAGGATTGTCATGGACCCCCTTTAGCATCCAATTAGTGCGCAGTTATTAAACGCCTACTATGTGCCAGTTGCTGGAGAGAAAAACAAACATCAGCCCCTGCTCTCAAGGAGCTCATAGTCAGATGGCAGCCTGGTGTACCCTGTGGACTCCCTGCCTCATCCCATCCCACCCACCAAGTTTTTAAAGTTCATGAAATACATAGGATTTTAACTCAAGTCAGCAAGCATTTGTTAAGAGCCTACTGTGTCCCAGGTGCTGTGCTAAAGGCTTTACGGGTATCCCAGGGAGGTAGGAGCCATCTTTATTCCCATTTTGCAGATAAGGAAGCTGAGGCTGAGAGAGATTAAGAGAAGTGTCCAGGGTCACAAAGCTGGCATTTGTTTGAGGTTAGTATTTGAACTCGGGACTTTCAACTCCAGGCTACCTCACCCCAAGCTACCAATCCAGACAGTCCCTGACCTCAAGGAGTTTAGCTTCTAATAGGGGATGACAGCATGTAAAAGGGAGCTAACTGAAAAGGAAACCAATTATCTTGAAATACAATAATCAAAATACTTAACCTGGGTTCTCCAGATAAATAACCCCTGGACTAGATAATTTTTTTAAATTAAATTCTATCAGCATTTTTTTTTTTCGGTTAGCCAGCATTAGTTTATGTCCTTTTCCCTCCCCCTCCCCCCCCCAGAAAAAAGAGACAAGCAAAACAAACCCTTGTAACAAATAGACATAATCAAGCAAACAGATTTCCACAGAGGCCGTAATAGATGTCTCATTCTTTATAATGTGGAATAAATGATTTTTTTTGGGGGGGTTGTGTGTTTTTTAGGCAATTGGGGTTAAGTGACTTGCCCAGGGTCACACAGCTAGTAAGTGTCAAGTGTTTGGTCTGAGGCCAGATTTGAACTCAGGTCTTCCTGACTTCAGGGCTGGTGCTCTCTCTAGGTAGCACACTTTTAAGAGAGGCTAGAGGCATTCTGGGAGTCACCCAGGAAAGATCCATTCTAATACTAATAGGACCATAGATTTAGGGTTTTGAGGAGCCCTACTGGAGATCATCCCCTTCATTTCACAGATGAGGAAAGTCATCCTTAGAGTGATTCTGTGAGGAGTCTTGAGACCAATTCTGTTCAACAAATGCCTGTTAAACACCTACTGTGTGCTGTGCAGTACGATAGGGACCGGGGATACAGAGGAAAAAAGTAAACACAGTCCCTGATCTTAAAGTGGTTTTATTTTCACAAAAGGAACAATTGTGGAAACTGGGAATGTTTAGAGTGGAGACGACCAGCATGTTTGTAGGAGAGAATGAGAGACAGAGTCCGAGAGCTCGAAGTAGCAAGTGGTGTGATTCTGCAATAAAGCTCAAGATAAAATAAGACATTATTATTTGAAGAGTTGCTTTTTATAAGGATTAAACGCATTTTGCCCAGTCACAGAGATTCGAAGATCTAGGACTTTTCGGTGGAAGTTACAAGGATGAAGCTTTTAACTCCTGGTAAAGAAGAACTTTTTTTTTTTATAAGTAGAGCTGGCCAGCATTGGTATAGGTTTGTCCCACAGCCATAGGCTGTGGTATAATGGGAAAACACCCAGGCTTTGGAGCCCAGAATCCTGAGTTCAAGTCCTGCCTGCCACTTACCAGTTGTATGACCTGAGGCAAGTCCTCTGACCTCTCTGAGACTCAATTTTCTCATTCATACAATGGAGCCAATAAGACTTGTATTATTTTACCTGGCAGTCATGAGGAAAGTGTTTTGTGAATTTTATAAACACCTTATAAATGTGCTCCGCAATAGTTATTTGTTTAGATTGATTAGGGATATTAGGGAAGAAATTCCAGTCTCGGGTGCCTCCCACCCTGCACTAGACAGCTGAGGTCCATTCAGATCCGATGATTTCTTTTATGTTTTCATGCCTGTTTTCACACTTATGTATTGTTTCCCCAATTACCTTGTAAGCATTTTAAAGTGGTGATCCCAGATTAGAGCTGGAGTGAACTGCAGTGATCATTTAGTTAAACCCTTCAGTGAGGAAACTGATTCTCAGAGAGATAAAGTAACGCTCAGGGCCACAGAGGTAGTAAGTTGAAACCAGTTCTATTTCTTATCTCTCCATAGCACCTAGAAGACCATTTCCTCCTCTGCCCTGCCCCCAACCCTCCCCCTATCGCGTGTACTCTCCGGTTGTCTCTTTCTCTTTTGTCCCTCTCCTTCCCATCCCTCCTTCTCTCTTCCCTTTCTCCTTTTCTCCCTCTCTCTCACCCTCCTTTTTTCTCTTCCTCCTTTCCTCCTCTTCCTCCTTTTTTACTTTCCTCCCTCCCCTTTCCTATTTTCCTCCTCTTTCTCTCCTTTCTTTCCTCCCTCCCCCCCTTCTCCCTCCTCCTTCTCTCTCTTTTCTCTCTGTCTGTCTCTCTGTCTGTTTCTGTCTTGCTCTCTCTCTCTCTCTCTCTCACTCACACACACACACACACACACACACACACACACACACACACAAACCCCCCCCCCCATACTGACTCTCCACGTATTATCTAATAACCCTGAAGCCATTAATACCTACATTTCCTTTTCCCTTACCTTCCTATGCAGGGGACCTCACTATTGGCAAAGTCTACAGTCATCTTCCTTTCCGTAGAGCTATATGCAGCAGTCAATGAAGATGTCAGTAGTGATGCCTCTGGCCTTTACACATCTTTTTTTGGGCTGCCAAAATGGAGCTACCCTTTTCTAAGGCACTGTTCTCTGGTTTTGCAATGTAGGTAAGGTAACTTTAATAGAATAAAAGGCCTAGAGCATCGTTAAAGGCTCACTGAAAGCCTTCTCAGGACAATTCCAAGAACAAATAGGCTAACAGGGATTCTATGTTACCTCATCCTATTCCCACATGGTTTCAATTTCTTTTGCAAGATCTCTATTCAGAAAATTGCATTTCCTATATCTTAGAAATATTTGGTGTGGCAACAAATTGAATTTTTCATTTTTATTTTCAGTACCGAATTTTCTCCATCCCTCTATCCCTCCCCTACCCATTGAGAAGGCAAAAAATATGACACTCATTATATGTATAAAATCATGTAAAACATATTTCCACATTAGCCATGTTGCAAAAAAAAAAAGATGAAGAAGAAGGTGATGAAGAAGCTAATTAGGTGCCTACTCTAAGTTCAGTATTGATGATAAGCTGTGGGGGAGAGAGGGGAAGAGTGGATTGGCCCAATTTGGAACTGGAACATAATGGAAGTACTTATGTCTTTACTCCATTCCCCTCTCCCTGTGCATTCCTGGTTTACTTCTTTTGGTGGTTACCATTTTCACCCAAATGTTTCCAACCGGTGGGACACTGGTGTTGCTGACTTACTCCATTATGTCTTTTCTTATAACATTTATACACCTTGTTTTTCTGTCCTTTGTGGTAACCTGATGATAATGACATTTTTGTGTGAATCAGTCTGTAATTCTGTGCCAACATATCTATTACTTGGATTTCTAGTAGCAGTTTTACCACACAGGTTTAGGTGCTGACCCAAACAGTAGAATCACCAGAGCTCCTCTGACCAGGATTTCAGAGTTCCAGGCCTTTCCAGCTAATAGTATGGCCTCAGGATCTATATCACCTGGCTAATACTCTCTTACTTTGCCACTGTCCGCCCTTCTTGTGACATGGACCATGGGTTGGGATTAAAGGGAGTTATTAATATTATTATTTCTATTATATCTGTATTATTAGAATAAGCCCATGGGTGGGGAACCTGTGGCCTCAAGGCCACATGTGGTCCTCTAGGTCCTCAAGTGTGGCCCTTTGAATCCAAATTTCACAGAACAAATCCTGGACTATTAGGACTTGGGAACATTTAAAAACAAAAACACAAAGCTTTTTTTTTAACTATTTACATTCAAACTTTTATTTAAAAACAGTGACAATAATAAACGTTAAAAATCCATTTGGAAATATTTACAATCTGACCATGGAGAAAAGAGGGGAAGGGAGAGAAAAACTGTTATTCTCCACCATTGTCAACTCTTGGTATCTAGCGTGAAACCATAGAACTAGAAAGCAGGGAAGTTTACACCCACCTGAAATCTACATCCCCCACCCTCCCAAGAAGAAAAGGTGAGAAGTGGAATGAAGTAAGAACCTTCCCAAGTTACAGTACAAGTTGTCTTTAGCAGCCTGTGAATTAAGCATCTAATTGTGACCTTAAATGACTGTGGTGTTTCATTATTATCATTATCACTACTAGTAATAATAAATGTAAAATGATGTGTTCATCTGTGATTAGAATGATGGTGCCTCAGGGAAAGATGTGAAACATCTCCTGTGTAGGTGGAAAATGTTTGCTTGTTCAACATATACTAGACTGGCTGTTTACAGGGAGATATAAGGTACCATTGTTTCAGTCTTATGGTCTCAAATAATTAAGCCTTTAATTGAGACTTCAAAGCTGACTGTGGATCCGCATCTGATTTACAGATTACACCCATTTTACAGATTACATGAAGGAGCTGAATAGAGGGGTTGTTAGTCACACATTGTCTTCCCACCTAGGTCTTAGATTTCTAATTACAAAAGTGTTGCAGAATTGCCCACATCTATGTTGTTTGTTTGTGTGTGTGTGTGTGTGTGTGT